TATATATATATATATATGTGTGTGTGTGTGTGTGTGTGTGTGTGTGTGTGTGTGTGTGTGTGTGTGTGTGTGTGTGTGTGTGAGTGTGTGTGTTTGTTTCTTTAACCCTGTACGCAAACATGAGTGGATGAGCGCGCGCTTGGGTTTGTGATGGTATGCGGAGATGTTTACCTATGCGTGTGTTCAAACATGCTAGTTATGATCTTGCCCTTATAGGAACGGAAATGAAAATAAAATAAATTAAAATACTTCATCCAATTTAGGTTAATGAACCAGATAGATAACAATTATCTATGGAATAACAATTAACAAAATGAGGTGATTTGAGATTTCACTTCCCTATATGATTTCCTATACGAAAATAATTGTAAATGTTTTAGTTTTATCACTAAATATTTTAGAAGTGTAAAGCAATCGGTATATTTTTATCATAAACTAACGTTCATGAACATTTTCATTTCCTTATAGTAACGGTGTAGCACTTACACGATAATGACTGATCACATGCTTTTTGAAATGATGATGCAAAAATCATGAGATTTTCCCCCGAGGAAATCGATAGGCAAAGAGTTATTATTACCTCCGCCAAGGGGTTAGCAGGAGGTTATGTTTTCACCGGCGAGTGTTTGTTGGTTTGTGGGTTTGTGGGTTTGTTTGTGTACAGCCGAACTGAAAAAGTTATGGGCGGATTGTCATAAAATTTTCAGGATAGGTCAGAAATTGCCTAACTTAGAATTGATGAGATGTTGGTGGTGATCCGGATCCAATTAATTAATTAATTAATTAAATTTTCAGGATAGGTCAGAAATGAGGTAACTTAGAATTGATTACATTTTGGTAGTCATCCGGATCCAATTAATTAATTAATTAACTAATTAATTAATTCATAAAATTTTCAGGATAGGTCAGAAATGGGGTAACTTAGAATTGATTACATTTTGGTGGTGATCCGGATCCAATTAATTATTTAATTAATTAAAAATTTCACTTAGTTAATTAATTAATTAATAAAAATTTTCACAGTGAGAGAATTCAGCTGCCTTGGCGGAGGTCTGTGCTCTCCGAGTGCTCTAGTTGGCTTTTCATTCACTGTTATTGATCCACTGTTGATGCTGACATCAGCTTCATTAGTCCCATTGTCTTCACTGCATGGCCTCTACTATGATTGGACAAACATGGCGAGTGTATGTATTATCATATATTTGATTGTGAAAATCAGTTTTGCCGTTGCTTCTTACATAGTTGCCTCTGGTGTTCTCATTTAGGTTGGTGAGAACCGAGATATTAGATTTGACTTTCGTGCCAGTATTGTATTCGTAAGCTTTCCGTGTTTTAAATAGCAGTGGATGGTGGTATTATTGTATTCAGCAAACGCTGGCGACAGGATGCAATGCTTGGCATGTCGCACCTCATGCCAGTATTGAATTGACAAGCGGTGACAAACGGTGACCACGTCTTGATGCGACGCTTATAGCGTTTGGGACAATAGCGGTGACAAGCTGAACGGCCAGGTGACGCGGCTACAGAAATAGAATAGAAGGTTGACGTTAGTCACACAGCCTGGTCGGGTTACAAGTACAGTAGGTTAATAATTATTGCAGACATTCGCCGAATGTATGTGTTATGTTGTGGTCCAATACACTCAAATCGCTGTAGTAAAATTGAGTGTATAGATCTAGATCTAGTTGCACATGAGTCATCTGTCACTAAATTTAATATTGAGGTCTTCACCATTAGCAATATCAGATCATGTAAGACAAATTATTCAAAGGGAAAAGTGTATAAAGTAATTCGTCGTGAGGATTAACCTATAAGGTTTTGATCTATAGGGAAGTGCTGAAACCGCACGGGCGGTTTCTCGGAGTTACACTAATGCTAGCTTCTGTCAGTTATAAGCACTAGAATTAATATTTTTTTGATTTAAATTTCTTTACTACCTTCCAAACATCATGTAAAGCTGGGTTTACACTGCCAACTTTGAGTTGGCGAATTGCCGAATTATACCAACTTCCCAACGCGCTATCAACCGATCTATGAACTGTGCAGCGCGTTTACACAGACGACTGCGAGTTGGCAACTCGAGCGAGCGGTTAGACTCGACCGCGAGCGTACGTGTGGAGCGATGGATATCTATAGGCATTATTGCATGTATAAATTCGCGCCAGGCATAGCACGTGTGAGAGTTTTGTAAAGCCTATTAAAAGACATCTGACAGTTCTGTCTATTTATGTTGCAGAAATCAGAATATGTATGAGAACAAATCTATCTGTCATCAAAGACATCAGCGCAAATGCCAGCCACCATATACATGTGCATGTACACCACACACATCGCTGCACTCGGCCATTCAAGCGCACTCAGAATTTCTTTTATCGCTTTCTGCTTCTTGTCCCGGTCTCTATATTCAGCCTTGTCTACATACCACATGCATTCAGCCTTCTCATATACGTATATGAGGAGATTTGCCTTTGATTCATCGGAGCATTCCTGGGCAGTCGACTCGCCGTTGACAAATTCTAGACTCAGGCGAGGAAAACACTACTATGGCACCAGAGATCTACAGTGAACCACTGGCTGCAGCCCACCCGCGAACATTACTTCAGTGGCGGATTTAGGTGGGGGGGGGGTGGATTGACAAATATAATAGTCGCACAAATACCTCCATGATACATGCATGATATGATGCATGGGTTAAATTATGTAATTGAATGGCAAAGCAGAAGTTACAACCCTTTTGCAGCTTTTTTCACAATTCCAAGAAAGAGTTTTGCTGTTGCCCTCATCCCCACGGTGGTCAACACAACATATTCAATAAATGACACATTCGCATATGACACATATTCACATTTATAATGAACCCGACCTAAAAAGTGCCCCCCCCTTGTACTTAGTCATGTCACAGACAGTTCATAGACAGAAATGAAGGCACATGGTGATACGGCGACGCGCTCACATGGCGACACGACTACGTGGCGACGCGCCCACATGGCGACACGGCGACGTGGCGATGCTCCCACATGGTAACACGGCGACGCGCCCACATGGCGACACGGCGATGTGGCGATGCGCCCACATGGCGACACGGCGATGTGGCGATGCGCCCACATGGCGACACGGCGATGTGGCAACACACCCACATGGCGACGTGGCGACGCGCCCACATGGTGACACGGCGACGTGGCAACACACCCACATGGCGACATGGCGACGTGGCGACGCGCCCACATGGTGACACGGCTACGTGGCGACGCGCCCACATGGCGACACGGCGATGTGGCGATGCGCCCACATGGCGACACACCCACATGGCGACACAGCGACGTGGCGAC